TATATATATATATAATTATATATATATATATATATATATACCTATATACCTATATACCAAGTTGCAATACTCTCTGTTATCGATTTTGTTTGAGAAACTAAATGCTTCCTAATATTTTGTTACTCACACTATACTTTCTGAGTTATATATTACTTTGAAAAAGAAATATGTTCGATAATTATTTGTTTGCTTATTTTATATTCATTTATTTTTATTTCAGCTTTTTGCACTACTTCTGCAGATTAAACAGAAAAAAGACGGGGAGCTGAATTCTTTTACTTTGTCTATTTTTTGGAGCTTCCTTGTTCTGGGCAACACCATTGCAACTCCATTCTATGATATCATTACCGTAAGTATAATGTAAGGTCATAGAATGTCTGACTCCCGGCGGCTGAGTGGTAGCATACCACAGGTCTTGGGTTCGATCCTCGGGCCGGGCAAGGTTGACTCAGCCTTCCATCCCTTCAGTGGATCGAAAAAGGAGTACCAAGCATGCTTGGGAACTAAATGGGGGTTCCACGTTCGATTGACCATCTGACCGGAATATCTGCTCCTGCACCCCAAAGCCCATGGTCAAGAAAACAGAGATGGGCACTGTAGGCTTTGGCCTTCTGTGGGCTGTCGTGCCACTGAGTTTAGTTTAATAGAATGTCTTCATATTACTTGGGTAATTGTATTAGTGACAACGATTTGATGGATAATACTGCTTAATGTATTATGTCAAAGAATCTGAAGCAATATTGTAGTCAACGCCCTTAATATATTTTGAATTTTTGACTGAAATAAAGTGAGAAAAATAAACATGTTAGGGGTTACAAGTTAATATTGGGTCTGCAAAGAAACAAAAACTTCATCTAAGTCTGTTGAATCACTAGTAATTAATTAATGATGAAAATTGCCTTGACCCGTTTGATTACCCTATTAAAGGTTGAGGCGTTATTATCAGCAAAGGGAAATCTCTACATCTCAAAACAATCAAACAGGTTTTAATTTCTTTAGACCCACCCATTTTGCTACATTTTTTAATTTGTTTATCATTCACTTAAATATTAATTTTTAATCCTTATGTGATTTGACTTCAAAGTGGGCAAGAATTCTAAAAACTATATATTAAGGATGGTGGTTACAAAACATTAAGGCCGGTTATGATGGAACACCCTGTATAATATTAAATTTCGGATAAACTGTAGTTTTCCGATTGCTCTTTAACGTGTATGTCTTAGGGTAATTGAAAAATCTTGCTCATCGCATTTTGCAATGTACCATATACGCAAAGGAAAATTCTTCATTATTTTTCTAATGGGCTTCATATTTTTTAAGTCAAATGTAATCAGTCTGAACAGCATTAGGTTATTGCTAAACTATGCAGAAAATTATTCAAACACACTGAATTCACTTAGGCTTGTTGTACTAAACCTTGATTGAAACTATTCACAACAAAGAGCTTATTATAAACTATTTGAAATAAATCAAGTTAATTGAGAAATAAATTATGCATTTTTAATAATTGCTTATAGGCTCATTAAAATAAATTTCAAAATGCTTAGAGAATACTGGTGATATTTCTAATTAGTTTGCAGAAAGCAAGAGCATTCAATTAGCTATTGAAGTGTGGGATAGCCTGGTTGGTAGGCCACTGGGCCCATACTCTAGAGGCCGTGTGTTTGATCTTCGCCGACCAAAAACTACCGGTGTAGTAAATGGTGCTGATGCACGTTAAATCTGTCAAGTCACAAAGTTCTCCATGTTCCCATAACAAATCATACCTCTGAGGGTAATGATCCAGGAGTTTCCTTGTCTTCTGGATTGGGATCAAAATTACAGGGATACTGAGTAGAACATTAGTAGTCGTAAATCCAAAATTGGGTCGACGACGGTTATAAAATAAAAAATTAACCATCGAAATAAATTATCGAAAGAAAATAACAAGTGATGAATTTGCACCCAATTAAGCACCACGGCATAAAATTATCGACTTCAATGGTTTAGATCAGGGATGGGCAAACTACGGCCCGCGGGCCAACTGCGGCCGGTCGGAAGGTTTTATCCGGCCCGCGGATAGAGTTCCATGCCGATCCATGGCGAATATAAACAAGTTACATTATACATCCATTATTTTGTCTAATTTGTTTAAAGCTATTTTTTTTTTCAACAAAGTACTGATGACCTTTTTACTTTCTCTATTGTTGGAATTGATTGACATAGTTAGCACAGACAGCTTCAATTGGTAAAATTTTGAACGTAGAAGTTCTTTATAGAATAGCCACAGATTATCTCCAACTAGCGTCAGTCTTTCTCGAGGATTAGACATATGAAATCTAACATAGGTGAATTGTGCTTCACATGTGGCAGGCAGCGCATTTTGAGCTCCAACGAGCTGATTTTTCCGCCGGTGCGAGTTCGAACATTATTTATTGAGCGTGTAAAGATTGCACATTATTATTGCTTCTAAACATGTTTGAGTTTTGCAAATCATTACCAAAAGCTAGTTTCCAAAATTTACTATCTCATGCCCAGAAAATCAGTGCTATGTTTGCTTCATCTTATATATGTAAACAAGTGTTTTCAACTATGAACCTTAGAAAAAATCATTTCAGAAGTAGACTAACAGAAAACCATTTAACCTCGTTCCTTAAAATAAGCACATTTCACTTCGAACCTCAATGTAAGGAACTTTTAAAAATTAAATAGTAATTTCATTCATCTCATTAAATATTTGAATTAAAACTTGTAAATCGGTTTTTTTTTTATTATTTTTATTTTAGAAGTTTTTACTCGGCCCACCAAACTCTTTTTTCTCGATTTTTGGCCCTCGACTAAAAAACTTTGCCCATCCCTGGTTTAGATGCTTATAAGACTTGAAAGTTTTATTATTTTTATTCATTGTAATAAGGTATTTAATTTGGTTTTTCAGAATCAATTGAACGAAAGAATCGATCCCAATTTGTATATTTTGGGAGTGATAGTGTTCTGCTTTGCATTGACGGAGGCTCTGCTCTCTTATTTCACCGATCCGCAATATGAGTACTTCTGGGACGCTGAGCGGGTAAGTTGATTTTTGTTTACATAAAGCATGCTTCAGGTGAGTTGTCTTGCAACTGTGAGGATTTCATGGATACCTGACACAGTGTTTTCCAAAAATGGTAATATACATTGCTTTTCAATATACATTACTGCATTTTTTATATTGCTTTTTCAACAATATGAAACAACAATGCTAAAAGATTAAGCTGTAAAAATTGTGGTGTAATTGAGGTAGCCACCAAACCTCTCAGAGTTTGGTGCTGAAAAATTCCAAAACATTGTGTGAATGAGTACTTTATTTTTAGTTAATACCGAAACGTGCTTATAAGCCTCCTACCAATTCTTTATATTACGAACTTTTAGGCATAAAAAATTATAAAAATTCCTGAGAGACACGAAAGTTCGTAAATAAACCAATATGTTGCTGTGAAGAGGTACAAAGATTTGCATTCCATATTCGTTGAGTTATAATTTGAGTTGTAAAAATTTACAAAAAGTGTGAGATTAAAAACAAAAAGCTTTTCTAGGATTCTTAAAAAAAAGCATGAATATCGACTATTTTCCGTTATTTTACTTTGAAAAGAATTAAGAGTTTTTTTTAAATAAAAAGTAAATGCTATATTTTTTATTGTAATTAGTGCAGCGTAAACATTAAAATACGGAATTATTTCTTTCTTAGTTTAAAAAAAAAAAAAAAAAAAAAACTTCAAATATTTTAATGTTAACAATTCGATTAAAATTACGTTAAATTGGAATTATTTTAGTTAAATTTACGCGAAAAATTTATTAATTCACCTAACTCAAAATAAGCGTTAAAAATGTTGATTGTATGGTAAAATACGTTTGTATTTTGGTTAAAATAACGTAAAATGTACGTTTTTTTAATAAAAATAAGCGTTAAAAACACGTAAATATTCTGGTGAAAAAAAAACGAATTTATAGAACCAAAAATAAACGTAAATAGTTTGGTGAAAAAAACGTAAAAAATACGTTAAGAAAGAAATCTGCTTGGTTAAAATCACGTGAAAAATTGGTTACGAAATTCACCTTAATCAAAATATGGGCAAAAATCGGTCATTTTTACGTTAAAAACAACCCAAATATTAACGTTTTTTTAACTAATTCGAGACTACCACTTGAAACGGAAATAAAACGTTTTGAAAAAACGTTTTTTTGCTCTAAACCTTGTGGCATTTTAACGTTATTTTCACGTAATTAATATTTATCTCTGCTGCATGGGTACATACATTTAAAAAAAAAATAATACTTCCACCAAGCTCAGATGTATTTGCTCCATTCATGAATTATTTACACCAATTTCGGTACACGTTTGGAAATCGTCAGATGATTAAGATAGATTAAAAACAATCGAGCACGAGAAGGTGTAAGTTTGCTGTCATCTCACAGACGCATTATAGAGAAATAAAAGTTCACTGTAACAAAAGGCATGCATGCCTTTAGTTTTGTAAGAAAGTGAATTATGTTCCCATAAGAAGATGTACAAAAATCCATCAATTAATGTGTTTAATTTATATTTAGGGGACCGGAAAGTAATGTCGTTTAGGTACGTTTGATATTTGTAATCAAGATTTTATTTTTAATCAATAATATATTCACACTCGCTACCAACAACCTTTCAATGTCGGATCGAAAATGAATAGAAATGAATCGGTTTTTAAAACTAACTAATATGTAATGCTCCGAAACGACATTACTTTCCGTTCCCCCAAATATTTTCCTTCGTTCTGTTAGGCCTAATTTGAATGTTCTTTCTGTAATGTGTGTATGGTTGATAAAAACTAATTTTATTTCAATAATCATTGAGTGCATGCTTACTTGAAATGACTGAAGTGATTTAAAATAAACCTCAAATAATAATGAGTAGAGGAAATATTATATAATTAAAAGTAATAATAATTAATGTAATTAATAAACCTCATTATTATATTAATAATATATTAACTTTATATATATATATATATTAGTATAATATATATTAATATATTAATTATAATTTAAACTAATTACTAATATACTAATATAATTTACATAATTGAAACTTAAAATAGTGGATATTAAACAATATTAGGGCGGAAAAGCTCCTAATGCAACAAGAATATGGTTTTCAACGTTTCATTTTTTAAAAATAGGATTTATTCATAAAAAGTTCACTTTTGGTAAAAATTTAAGTTAAATTAATTCAACTGAGATATTAAATAATCTATCAACCAATGCTTATTGCATAACTTAATTTTATTGATTAGAATATTTCAATACATAACTTTAAAAAATTCTGAAAGTTAATTTATTTTTTATTTCTTTTAGGATGAATACGTTATTGATCATCAACCAATTTTATCAAGACTGCTATTCTCATGGGTTTATAGGTACGTGATTTTTACTTATAACACATTATTAACAAGAGTCGTCAAGTGACTTTTTAATCAGTATTTACAACAACAACAGCTTTAGTGAATAATTTAACAAAGCAAATTCAATAACATCCTTATCACGAGGTTCCTGGACAGGTGACAAATATTTAACAATGAAACGTGAAAAGAAATAATTACCCACAATAATTTTTGAATAAAATGAAGGGTACAAAAACTTTTGTTGTATAGAAACTAAGCAATTGTACAGAAAGCTTCCTACTACGCACTATTCTCCCATTCAATAAATGAAGAAACCACGTTTTTTTTTTATGCCGGAAAGCAGGACTAAAGAGAATAGAAGAGCTAGTTCACTCCTTTGAAGAAACTCTCGCCGCGCCAAACCTCCGATTTTCTCCAGTGACGTCACTGTGGCGCGAAGCTTGTACTTTTAATTCATGAACGGTTTAATTCAAGTTCGGTCTAACTTGCTCTAACTAATATTGGAGCATTCCTTTTTGCGACATATTCCAAAACATTTGTTGTTTTATAAAATGATTTTCCTCAGTTTATTGCAGTGAATTTAAAAAAATTAACAACTATTAATGAAACAAGGGCGCCGGGAGGGGGTGCAAGAGGATGCTCTTGCACCCCCTGGCTTTTTTTTAAAACAATTAAAGAGATACAGAAAAACAATTTTGCTTTAAAATGTTTTTTTAAATATTTTTATTTAAAAACAAATGATTAAGTAATTATTGATAAATAACAATTAAAAATTGTTTAATCTAATAAGAATTGTAATAGTCTTGTTTGCTGTCCAAATCTGTTTATAACTTTATAACTTAGTAAGTTACTTTTTTCTACAAAAAATATCAGAATGCAGTCAATTTGTAAAATCTATTCATAAGTCGAACACTCGAAAGCAATTTTTTATTTTAACTGTCAAAAAAAGATTTTTATTCTTGGGCAGATATCTTAGCTACATTTTTAAATTTCATTCAATAAAATATAAATAATATTACATTTTCTGTAAGTTATTTAGTTTAACAAAGGTGTATAATACAAACTGACTTCTCACAACTGTAAAACTTCATCAATACAATAAATACCAATGTTAAGAGTGCACAAGCAAGTACGAAACTACTGTTTGTAGTTATTTGTGTTTCAAAGTCAGTAGCTATGCCAGCGCCATCAATACAGTTTCTCGTGACAAAATTTGCAAGTACAAGAAATTCATACTTAAATATCTTGTTAACAATGAAGAAATGTATCTTGAAAAAAATTAACAGATGAAAGTATGTGTAATAACAAAACAAAATGCAATAACAGAATATTGGTATTTTTTTTTGGGGGGGGGTAGATTGTTAGAGGGTTGCACCCCCTTTTATGTTATTCTGCCGGCGCTCTTGTAATGAAATGCCAGTTTTCGCTATTGCAACTTGCAAAAATTCTGATAGAAGCACAAAAGGAAAAAATATAATTTTCCAAGTGTTCCCTAAAGTAAATGAACAACTATGTTAAGAATGGATTCAACGAATTACAAACGATATGACACAGTTAATATAAAACAGCAATACGTTTATTCCATCGTTAAGAACTTTTATAAAAATTCACCATCTAAATAGAAACCGCCTCGTTACTTCAAAGAGAAGGGCAGGCGAAAGAATTAAAAATGGATAAAGTCAAAGAAAATTAACGCGTAAATAAAAAGTATAAATAAAATGTATACAAGGGCGCCGGCAGGGGGGTGCAAGGAGGTGCACTTGCACCCCTCTGGCTTTTTTTTTTTCTAAACAATTAAGCAGATAAAGAAAAACTATTTTGTTATAAAAAAATTTTATTAAAAATATTTTTATTCAAAAACAAGTAATTAAATAATTATTGATACATAACAATTAAAATTTTTTTTAATCAAACAAGAATAGTAATCGTCTTGTTTGCTGTCCAAATCTGTTTATAACTTTTTCAATGAATTCTGAGTCATCTTTGAATCTTTTCTTATGCACATTGAGCATGCACAAATTACTTAATTTCTCGTGAGACATTGTAGACCGATTCCATATTTTGATGCGTCGCATTGTACTAAAAGTGAGTTCAATAGTGCACGTAGTAGCTGGAGGAGTTAGGCCAATTTTGATAGCCTCCGCTACAGCTGGATAAAACGGTGTGCCCTCAATTACCAAATCGATGTATTCAAGGGATTCATAAGAATTTTCTCTATTCCACCACATTTCGTACCACGTTGTAGCTTCAGTGATGAATTTCGGTAAGAGCAGATCTTTACACATAGTATATATATATATATATAATCTTCTAAAGCTCAATAACAAATCAAACACTACAAATTCAACACAACAAATACAAATCTTAAGCGTGCACAAACACGTTAGTATACGAAACTACTGTTTGTAGTTATTTGTGTTTCAAAGTCAGTAGCTATGACAGCGCCATCAATAGTTTCTCGTGGCAAAATTTGCAAGTACAAGAAATTCGCACTTTTTTTTAAATATCTTGTTAACAATGAAAAAATGTATGTTGAAAAAAATTAACAGATTGTAATAAGTAAGATTATATAAGTAATAACAAAACAGTAATAACACAATATTTGTAAATTTTTTTTTGGGGGGGGGGGTTAGTTTGTTAGAGGGTTGCACCCCCTTTTACATTATTCTGCCGGCGCCCTTGAATGTATAGTATATAATTAAAATTCTCCTTATTTCATAACATATTTTTTAATACAGTTATTCTAAATATTTATGATTTTTTTTTATTATATTCTCTTAAAATTAAATATCTATAAATTATATTATCTTAAATTTAAATATCTATAAGCAATTGTAAAATTTCAAATATCATTATGAACCTGAATTATTATTTTGCTTCAGTAATTAGCGTTTAAGGTTGATGTTTCCTAATGATTAAGTGTGAGCAAATTTCTATTAACGGCATATTTTAAAATCAGGATTCTAAATTTAACCCAACTTTACAAATTATTGTTATCGAGCAATATGTAACTAAAAAAGTGTCGATATATGCGTTAAACTTTTTATAGTTATGAAAGATTATATAGATAAAAAAAGTGTCGATATATGCTTTTCTTAATAATTAAAGTTAAAACTGAACTTCTTAAAATAAAGTATTTATAGTGTCATTTTCGCCAACTGGTAAAATATTTTTATGTTAAAATGGTATTTTTTTAATATAATGGCCAAGAAAGTTTCTTTGAACTAAGTTTATGAACGGAAATAATGTGTTAATTATGTAAAGTTTGAAATCTAATAACCATAAAAAGTCTAATTTATTTTTACAGAGAGAAAGATGCAAAGTTATCATAATATCTTTTCTAGCGATCTCCGAGATCTGTGGACACAGTGACGTCATGAGGAGAGAAATCATAACTTCAGCTCTAAAAGAGCGGAATGAACTAGCCCTTCTATTCTCTTTAGCCCTGGCCGGAAAGCCGGCATTTGAAATTTAGGGAAAAATCCTAATCTACTGCTCAGAGGGTTAAAATAAAGAAAATTATTACTATCTTCGATACTAGTTACACATTTAAATATCGCATATTTAAGAGCTGAATATGATTTCTCAAAATTATTAACACTGGGTTTACGGATATTTCTTACATACCTATCTCTACGAACACGCTTCAATTTGACGCATGAACGATTACATATAACAGCACTACCAGAGATGCCAACTTGCTCCGGACAGCAAATATATATTTAAAACTGGTAGTTTATCAAGTGTGATTCTTGGTTTAATAAATTCAATTTAGTAGATGTTTATCCACCACTATTTCTAAATAATTCGTAGGCTTATATAATTCACCACTTTATATTGAAAATTTACATCGAAGATATTTTCCGTTGTTTTTTAGATGTTTTGGTGTGTCCGGAGCAGTTGGGATTATATAAGATAAAAAATTAAAATATGAAATATTCTACTATTTTATTTTTCAATACTCAAACTAAGCAACTGAAGCCTTCAAAATCTGACAGCAATTGACATTCTGCATTTGTTCTTTCTATTATCGCTTGTTGCTTATCAGTTGTTTATCGCTTGTTTCATTTCAGATAACGATATCGGATTACGGATCGAAGTATTGTCGGTACATTCCTATTTATTATTGACGTGAAACGCTCTAAATTACAATTGCGTCAAATTGACGCATATCTGTAGAGATAGGTATATCACAAAGATAATTTCAATATTTCAACGCTTTTGAAGAAAATTGACTTCAATATATATTTACCTCTATCAATGGATAAAAGTCATTACAAGAGATAAAATAAAAATGCAAACGAGTTTTGTAATTTTCCTTATAAAATTCGAAATGCGTCAAAATAACGCGTCCCGTTAACCTAGTGTTAAGAAGCTAAACAACAACAAAGATCTAGAACATGACAGATTAAGCAATGCCTAGTGTTCAAGAAACTCCCACGCAACAAGATCAAACAAATTACCAACATAATGGATGTCTGCCTTAGATTAAATTATTTCCCAACGAAATGGAAACATGCTGTTAAGAGCAGGGTAAAATCTAATCTAAATCTGGAGAACTGCAGACCAATTTGCCTTCCCTCTCTAAAATACAAGAGAAATCAATCCTTGCTAGACCAACGCCTCCTACAACTGAAAGCCTCCATCATAAGGGGTTTTTTTTTTCAATTTTTTTTTATAATTAGTCCGATCAGCCACTATGAAAGTAAGCCAATTTTGGAAAGAGCCCTTTAATACAAAATCTAGTAAAAATAAGAAAGTGGTAGCGAATATATGTCTAAAAATTCGTTTAAATTATGAATATGATTCGTTTGTCTTATGTACTTGTCTACCACTACAGATTCAACTCTGAAATATATATGAAAAATTTCTCTCAGGCACTAATAAAGTACACCATCTTCCAATTTATCATCTTAGAAGAAGGAGTAGATATCCCCCATGGGATAGTAGCTCCAAAAACATTGTATCAATCACTTTTAAAATAGAATTTGGGTTCACTTTTTAAATAGGCTGCGTGAACTGCTTATAAAAAACCGCGTGAATGCTAGACTCCACCCATACATAGACTTCTCGTCAAAAACGAACAACTTAAATTTCGTGAAAAACCATTCTACATGAAAGCAACTCATCAGGATTAACACGTTGAGTGCCATGGGGTCACCGGTGACCGGAACTGAGTTTGTCCGTAGCGCCACGAGGGTCACCTGTGATCGAACCCAACATTGTTAAAAACACATAATACGAGTAAATTTTTAGTATTTTTATGCTATTATCGTTACTAAAATGGTTTGAAGAAATTAATGCAATATCGAACACACAAAAATAATTTCATTTATATACACAGAGACGCCAACTTGCTCTGGACAGCGAATAAATATTTTCAAGTGGTAGTTTTTTAATTGTGATTCTTGGTTTAATAAATTCAATTTAGTAGATTTTTATCCACTACTATTTTTAAACAATTCGTAGACTTATATAATTCACCACTTTTTTCAGATATGTCATGCTAAACCTTTTAAAAAAAACTAGCAAAATCTGTCTAATATTTGCAAATTTAGTTTGTGGTTATTTATCGTTTGGCCAGACTTGCAAGCCATGTAAAATTAGCGTGGCATTCTACGTGTTAATGAATCAGTTAAAGAGTATATAATAAAGAAGACTCTGCCCTTTGTATGCTACATGTTGCACGTACATTCGACCATGTCAAGTTTGAAGTGAACTGAACTTGTTTTATGAGCATTGCCACGCAGCTGCCCCTGATTATTTATCGTTGTATAAGTTCTTTGAGATGAGCAGAATAGGTGGTAGCTGTAATGTCAAGTTTGAAAGTTTCTTCCTGTAGGGGCCGTATGCTTAGATCAATAAAATATATTGGTATATTGGTAGTCAATATAAACAAAACTGACAATTTTCTATGATTTTGGGAACATTTTCTCACTGTGGGAGCTAAATTTAAGTTCGAATTCTTAATTCTTTGTTTGTTAAATTTAATTTGAATTTATTTTCCTCACCACTACATGTGAAAATTCAGTCGAATTACCAAAAATTCTGGAAGCTGTAGAATTTAATTATCAACCAATTCATAAATTATTTTACAAAAAAGCGTAATAGTTTCCAGCTCTCCTATATATAGTAAGGTCGTCGGGCTACCGATGCGGGGGTGCCATCCCCTCTGCAGAGGATCAAAATTGTGATGGTATGTCTTCGGATCATCCTCAGGGATGTTTCCCAGACCGTCTCCAATAGCCCCATTGTGTATCTCTAGTGCCACATAAATAAAGTTACAACTACAACTATATATAGTAACTAGGAGGCTTCGCCCCCTGCTCGCTGACGCTCCCCTGCCCCCATACTTTTTTTAATTAGAGATATTTCTTAAAAATTGACTTGCATTTGTAGTAGTAATTCTTTAATTCATTCTTTAACAATAAATTCTTGGCTCTTATATGAGATTTAAAATTATATTATTTATTTTGACATCCAACGACGATACATACGTGTATATGTAGTGCATTTGATAATGTTTTGAAGTTCAGGCGAGGTAAAGTACCTTTCTTCGCAATTGAATAAATTTAATTTTTAATCAATTAAAAAAAATCTTTAACGGAAGGGTTAAAATTTTTAAGTATAGATAGAAATAAATCCTAAATTACATTACCAGATATGCTTAGTCATGAAATACCTTTTCTCAACTTTTAGACTTTTCGTTATATTTTCTTTTGCGCAAATTGTCTATTTAATTGTCTATTTAATGTCTATTTAATTTTAGAATAGTATGGTATGGTTACAGAAATTTCATCGATACAGGCGATCTAGACCAATTAAATCCTAGATTGAGATCTGCATATGTGCATCAGAAGTTCCAGGAGCAATGGGCGAAAGAAGTAAAAATTGCTGAAGAAATGTATGTTGGTATTGTATCATTTTGGGAACATTTTTTAGTTCTATTCTGCTTAAAACAAATCAATCATAAAATCTTGACTCTTGGACAACTAAAACAAGACATTTTAGATGTTCAAGTTAATAAGTATCTTTCTGCTGTTCATATAATACTTCAGTTTATTTAAGTAGGGTATTCGGCCCGCGAATAAGTAAGGGTCTACTTAGGAAAAAAATAAAGTCTCTGAATGGAACGCTTGCTTTACTTGACCACTTTGGTCATACAAGTGCATTAAATAATTATTGTTGTGATAAACTTCTAGGGGAGTTGGGAGACATCAGTAGAATTAAAATTGCATAAGTACTCATGCTCGAAAGTGTCTTTGGATGCCCGTAGAGGCACTTCATATTTATGATCTATTCAGAATATCACACAAATAAACGGTTTATTATTATAGAGAAGTTCCGCTAGTGGCGTATGACGACATTTCCGGGCTATTCCTACACGATGCAATTCCCATGCAACTTTAATCCTAATGAAGTGTCCATACTTCTTTAGAAATTTGTCGCAACATTTATGTGATCCCTTGTTATGAAAAAAACGTTTTTAAACTTGCACAATTCGACAAAAAGCGGGACTAAAAATGTCATTTTTTAAAAAAACTGTAACTTTCAGAGAGAAACCGATTGTAGATTTGAAATCATCCATACTAAGGCATGTGAGATATTTTTTTGAAAAATCTCATGCAACAGAAAAAACATGTTTCTCAGTGCTATTTATTCATTCGCCTAAATAGAAAGAACTGCGTCTTGGTGGCTCAGGGAATAGAGAGTTTGTCTTCCAATAAGGATAACCGGGTTCGAATTCCAGTGATGGCTCGGCGATACGAATTCCACATTCGACTTGAATCGACAGCAGTGCTGTTGTGAAATATCATCAGTGGTAGATGGATCATGGGTTAGAATCCCCTTGCCGTCAGCCTAATCGTGGGAGGTTTTCGTGATTTTCCTCTTCATGTAATGCAAATGTGAATTATTTTCATCAAAAATGTCCACCACGAAGGCAAATTTCTTCCAATACTTGATACAAGAGTTCTCTTCTGGATTGGGTTCAAAATTAGAAGGTTACGGAGTTAAACATTAGCAGTCGTAAACCCAAAAAACAGGATCGGGTGTTCAACGGCAATGGAAAAATCTTGCAATCTTGCAAAAAATGGAAAAATCTTGCCAACTAGACCATTTTTTTAAATAGTAGATAATTCTTTAAATATTTAATAAGCTACATATTTGACCATTTCAAAGCCAGATAATTACCGACGGCAAGATAGTATGGGAAATTTAAAATTATTATTAAAGCACTGACGTTGTAGCAATTTCTTTTTTTTTTTTTTGCTTGGCAAAAGAGGTTTGAAAAGCTGCCTTTAGTCACATACACGAAATTTTCCAATTCCGCGATCACACGAGATCAAAGACAAAATTAATGACCAGTTTAATCCAACTCTTTAGGTTTCAAGAAGAAGAAGTGGGGGATGGCACAAATAAGAAGAGTTCTTGTTGTAAGAGAGGACCCTCTTTGTTTCTGACTTTTGCAAGAGCGATCTGGCCGTGGTTCTTAATGGCCGTATTTCTGGAGATCATATACAATTTCACTTCTTTGTTGCCTCCCATCATATTGGAGTAAGGATTGCCGAATTTTTCCTAACGTTTTAATATTATTGAAATAACTTAGGATAAAAGAAAGCTCGCGTTACTATAATATTTGTCATTGCTGTCACAGACTTTTCGCAAAATATTTTACTGAGGTTGCGTTTTTTTTTTTAACCCTTGAAAAAAAAAACCGAGTGCCACAAGTCAACCCTTTAATTTTAATATGTCAATATTTTTTTTTCTCTTATTTATTTTTTTGTCTTTAACCGCTCCCCTTACCATTTTTTTAAAAAAAAAATACACGAAATCAACATTAATTTATAATTTCATTAACCCCTTGGGGACGGGTGATTCAGAAAAGCATTCGTACAAAATCAGAATCAAGTTGTAATTAAATAAAAAACGGTAACTTAAATGTAGTTGTTGCTAATTTGACAGACTTACCTTGCTTTTACTTTAATTATTGTTAGCTTAATCATGTAAATTATCTATGTTAATACAAAGTATAACTAAATAATTTCATTTTAAACAAAGTAATGGTGAATTAAATAAATCAAACAATTATAACTCCGCCCACAAATAAACTACTAAAGAAATACTTTGATTACCAGTTTTACTCTTTTTATCCTGATTGATGCGGTTTTATGCTGGCATGTATTTGTGACAGTCGGCGCGTAAGGGTTAATAAATGCAAGAAACTAAACCAAAGCATAAACACAAGTTTTAAGTTGAAATTTTGATTTTTTTATGAGTAAAAACACATTTAATTTACAATCAGTTTGCTATCCCGAGCTATCTCGGGCAAATGAAAAAAGTTAAATAATAATTTTTAAAACAAGGGACAACACAAAGTGATACGCCAGTAAAGTGATACGCCATTTTTTACCCTTTTTTTCTATGTAAATTCAGAAACCATCGATATACCTTGGCATAAAAAGATAGCCAAGGCATATACAACTCAAGCTTGGCCAAGGTACATATAGTGCGGCTTTGAGGAGAACTCCTCCAGACTAAAAGTCTGGGGCTGTCTGCTATTATGGTAACAAGCGAGAGTACATTTCTAATGGTGGTGAAATGGAGGAAAGAAGGTGACGATTGGTTTACTCATGACGACCTATGCCGAGATTAGGACAAAACTATTCACCCCACACCCCTATACGAAGTGTCCTTTCCTGGTAACCATAGTACCCGCCACGACGCGAGACGGTTGTCTGGAGGAGTTCTCCTGAAAGCCACACTATACAATCGCACAAAACACGTGTGCAGTCCCACGATCCAACAGCAAAACTAGGCAAACTTCCAATCACAGCAGATTATTATTATTATTTCCTTTCCGGCCCAATTAAAAAGTGATATAACAAAACGTAATGACAAATTCTTCCAAGTTTTATAGGGATAATAAACATTAGCAATATACAAATACCCGAATAATTTCGGGATAGTAAATATTTGCACGTACCGAGTTAACTCGGGATTATCAGGTAAGCGGTTAAATAAGTTTCTAATCGTCGTTTTAAGTTACATACGCGTGAATAAAAATTTATTCTCGGGAAAATACGTGAAGATAATTAATTGTTCTCTTCATCCCAAATTAGTTCCTACGCTTAGGTCCAAATTTTTGATTCAAATTATTTCGAATGGGTGGAGTTATAAATAACTTCCGATGCAGTTTCGTAGATTGACGCCAGTAAAATTACACTAGTAATGAATTCACGACTAAAAGATTTTAAGCGATTACTGGTGAAAGACTCCTTATAAAAAGTGTACGAATCCTGGATGTTTAGAAATAATTTATCACTCACAGAAGATGCCAACTTGATTCGGGCAGCTGATAAATATTTTAGAGTGGTAATCTTTTAATATATAATTCTTGGTTTAGTAAATTCTACTTCAGGGGTAAACTAATCCCTGTAACTTAAGTGTAGAGAGTTACCCGACACGAGTGGTAATTATCAGGACGGCAGAGTCTCTACTTTAACAGAGCCACACCTACTTACACATACACACACATCCTCACATTCCTTTAACTCGCCCCCCTTTTGTATGTATTTCCAATCTGTAAATATTCATTAGTGTTCATTTTCCCATTGTACTTGAATTTTACCTTTTTTCGTGTACTTTTTTATTACTTGTAATTTTGTTATTGCCTAATAATGGCAAAGTGCCATTTTTCTTCTCTCACCAGCTCCATTTTGCTCCCCAAACTTTATTTTTGCCATGTATGTTTCTTAGTCTAATTTCAGGATGAATGGGAAAAGGGCCGTAAGACCTCAGACGCCCAGTTCCACTACAACGAACGAACGAAGCTGTGTTGGGGCTTTTAAAAATTTGGCAAAATTAACCGAAAATCTAAAACTTTTAGTTTGTAGATCACTACCGCTTTTTGAAATATTCTGTCGAAACCGGAGCCAGTTGGCGTCTCTATACCATAGAGACCATACCTATTCCATCTCTATACCATACCTATTTATTACTCTATGCTCTATACTCGTTTTAAGATAGAATGCTTGGTGAATAACTGTTGTTGATTGACAGCATAATACCCTAAAATCTCTAAAAAATCTTCAAACTAAATTATGAAGTAGTCAGTGTCAATAATTAGTACAAAAATATTCAAATGTTGCAACTGATTTGGGACAGAAGGAGTAATTATTTTTGTTAGATAGTATAATGACGAAATTAGGGGTGGTTGGAGTTGTAACGTATAATTGACTAATTGAAGACTTTGATGAAAACAGGATAATGAAAATGACAGCTGAAGATGAAAACTGGATCATAATTATAATAAAACTTTTATTTAGTATTTGTAGAGCTCGAGATATAAAATTATATTTTATCCGTAATAAGACTCTCTAAGTTAATTAATAAATTTCGAATAATAATATTAATAAGGACAGGCCACGGGAGATATATCCGACCTGCCTAATCAAAATGTGAATGAATTCTTCCCAACAGACAGTCAGGAGAATGGGAAGAGATCCATGGTTGGCGATTTATCGAAAGATAACAGAGCCAAAAATAAAACCAACCTCTAATAATCAATATTAAATTTGAAAATAATTTGGCGAAAGCGAATCGCCAAAAAGACTTTTCTTTTCTTCCAGACGTGGACACGTACCTAGGTTTGCAAAACCCTTAACCGTATAGTCCACGTCTGGACGACAGTCTAGCTCGCACAAAACTCGGCACATAAGTAAACCATTACAAAATTCATAACTGCACAATACAGATGATACAGATGACAATAAAGATGACAATAATTCGTATCACATTAGCTAAATTTATAAAAAATATTTAAAAAAAATTTTAAAAAATTTGAAGCAAAGAGAACAATAAATGAAGCGAATTTTGTTACATACATAATAATTGAAAAAAAAAGAAGCAAAAAGAAAACAAATAAAGAAAATGTAAACGAGGACGAAATGTATAATAAAGGACAAAATCAAAAACTGTTAAACACTATCAAGATTACATAAAAAGTCAGGTTTAATTAAAATTTTAATAAGGAGTCGTTTTCTGCTAGAAAATTCATTACGTTAATTAATTTAGAGTTTAATGTTTTATTTGTAAGAAAGTTTTTTTGCCAAATATGTAAATTATTAATGTTTGAAAGTCGTGTATGCCATGATATTGTGTAAAGACAAGTTGATAAGTAATGCTCTGTTGTACCTGGTTGACCACAGGTACAAAGGTTTGTATCCGAGATATGAAGGTAATGAAAGAAAGAAGGAAAAGGGCCGTGACCTGTTAGGAACCAGATGACTTGCGCCAAAAAGACTGTGAGAATTAGTATAACCATGTAACTGAATCATTTTTGTGGTAAGAAATAAAGATTTATAATTAGATATTTGTTTTCGTTTAGTCGCCACAGTGATTTAATGAGTCTTACAGTATCATTGAAATAAAAAGTTTGCAGTTACATCGATTGTTAAGAAAAGAATAAAATACATTATATTCGCTTTTTATAAAATGAAATACAAATTAGATAATTGGTTTAATTTAATTAAAATTCGGTTAGGAAGGATTAAATATTTAATTTAATTAAAATTCGGATAAGAATGATTAAAAACTTGATTTAATTAAAATTCGGTAAAGAATGATTAAAAAAATAAGTTTAAGAATGATTAAAAAAATAAGTTTAGGAAATTAAAGAAATTTTAAAAGCTGGGAAATATGTAATGCCTATGTGGCCTCACAGATAGATTCGTGTATTTTGATTTTAACAGTATAATATTAAACTTTTGGGTACATAAACCAATCATAGTATATGGATGAGTATGAGTCTATTTCGTGTAACAAAGTCTTACCTATTATATCTATTTTTTTACATTTTTAATAAAAAGTTTCTATACAAACATTATATTAATAACCTCTTTTCTTTTTTTCCCCACGTGTAACAGTTTTCTCATCAAATTCATCGACAATGACGAACCGAGCTGGCATGGGTATGTGTACGCAGGATTGATGTTTATCCTGACACTTTTCTTATCTTTGACGACGTGTCACCTTCAGAATTGTCTGGTCTGGTCTTCTATCTGTCCTAGATCTGGTATGAAAGCTGCCATGTATCGAAAAGTAAGAGATTTAAATGTTAAGTAACGACCTCCCTGAATATATATATTTCAAAAATCCTGTTTCAAAAAATTTAAGTTAAATAATTATTCATATTCAACAGACAGTTGATTAACAAAAGGTTCATTGGAGGTAAAGGTTTCAACACTTTATAGGTCAATGACATGGCGGTGATGATGCGCATCAGCCACTTTTACAATTCAGACAGTACCCAGCGATCTAAAGTTTGTTGGTCTCCAGCCGCATAGAGCCCTGATTCTACCCAATGGCAGGTCAATGTCTTAACCACAGTGTTATCGCATCTCAATAATGATTTATGCAAAAAACTGTGGGTCGTAAATTTGTACCAATTTAAGGAGGGTGAATTTTTCAAACTACGGTCAACTGCTGGAAAAACAACAGTTTTTAAATTTAAAATGTATTTAATTAGCTAGAGTAACGAAAGGTATAATAGCAGATGATAAAGCGAAGTAAGTGACGGAAAAAGAATTCACTTTTTGCATTTGTCGCGCATTGAGGGTTGTCTCGTTTTCAAGCGCGGAGATGTTCCTCCTCTTACTCCCGAGTAAAATGAACTCTACTTCGGAAGAGGTGGAGCCAAATGCCAACTCCTGGGGAACGAACTATACTTAAAGATCTTTTTTAGTCCCAATTAACAAATAGACTGGTTTTCTGTTGTTTTTAATCCCCCTTTACTCTACTAGACGTCATTAATGATCAGGTTTTGGAAACACACTTTTTCTCATTCACATTTATACATTTTAATATTCAACGTCTGATACCCACACTTTTTTTCAACTTCATTCTTTACAAGGATATTAAAGATAAAAGTATATTAAGATTAGAAATTATGGTGCAAACTATGTATTTTATTCTATCTAAAATTTAGTTTTAACTATCTAGCAAACCATAATCAGTTCTGTATTTCTATTTTAAAGAAAGAGGTTTGTATGATTTAATTATGGCTTATATTTATCACAATTTATAACTCGGAAAAAATAATAAAAATAATTTGTTTGAAAAAAATATTAATTTTTTATTTCCTGTAATTAATTTTTAGTTTTTGATAATGTATTATTAAAGGGTGTTTATATACAAATTTTCCCTGTACAAATTTTTCTTATTATTATTTTCTCCAACCAGTCAACGGTTTATACGACCTGGTCTGACTCCTCATCTGAAACTGCTTTGTAAATAAATAAATAAAATAAAAAATTTAAATCTGCATATATTAATCAACTAAAGAAATAAACACGACATTTAACGAAGTTCTCTTCCAAATTCATTATATGCTATAGAGAAAATCGAAATAAAAGGAAATAAATGTAAAATGGTTTAGGGAGACATTAACCGTGAAGGAATTGTGGGATTTACATTACATTTGGGTAACCATGAGCAGTCCACAGTAAAAATTTACAATCTGACACTGTGTCACGTTTTCTTAGGTGCATATTTTGCCAGAATTATTCTATTTTTCGTGTCGTTTCTAGTACTATAAAAAACTAAACTCAGTGTCGTGACAGCCCATAGAGGGCCATGGCCTACTATGCCCATTTCAGTTTTGTTGACCTTGGGCTTTGGGGTGCAGGAGCAGATGTTCCGGTTAAGTGGCTAGCCGAACGCGAAAACCCTAGCGTTTGGTTCCCAAGCATACTTGGTACTCATATATCGACCCACTGAAGGAATGAAAGGCTGAGTCAACCTTGCCCGGCCCGAGGATCGAACCTGGAACGGAGAGTGAAACGCTACTACTTAGCCAACGTGCATTTTTTAGCAATATAAGAAATGTAAAAATTATAAATTTTATTTCGTTACTGAAGATCAAAATCGTTTTTTATCTCTAAAAATTAAGGTTAACAAATAATTTTCATTTACATTAATCACTGATTAATGTAAATGAAAATTACTGTGTTATAATTCATAATTCATTCATTATAAATTCATTGCTATATACTAACTATTCATTAAAATATGGTTAAGTTTTGCTTTGAATTTAGGTTTTAGCCTTGAGTAGTGGATCCAGACGTTGTTATACTTTGGGTGAACTGTGCAATATGCTTTCTGTCGATGGACACACACTGGTACAGTTGGTATGGGACTGCAATATGATATGGAGTTGTCCAATGAGGATCATTCTGACGGTTGCGCTTTTGTGGAGGTACCTGGGTATCGCCTCCCTCGCTGGAGTAGGCATTATGGTGCTAATCATGCCTATAACAGCCAAGTTAGCTTCTGCATCACAAAAATTGCAGGTAATGTGAATTAAAATGATTTTCTATTTTTATCTTAATTTAATTAATTAATTATTTTATTAATTTTATTAATTTATTTAATTAATTAATTATTACTCTAATTGGCACCTTAATGCTTGGCTTCTGTTGAGCTGGAATCATAGAATATAGTTTAGTAATACTGTCAAGTTTCAACCTTGGGATGTTGAGAAGGAAGGAGAAAATAAAAACAGTTTTCTTGAAGGCAATTTATTTATTTTCTTTATCAGTTAAGCAGTGTTAATTTTAAGCAGTATTAAGTATTAATTTTTTTTAATATGTAATCATTTTTCAACAGTCTACTACTGAGGGGTCAGGGATACGCCATAAACTCCTTTGTCCTAACACTGTGCTATTATATATATATATATATATAGGGTTATTCATAATTCCCTCAGAGCAGGAACTGAACTATCGCATTGATGTATGCCGTGTGACCAAGGGTTCAGACATAGAACACCTGTAATGTATGTAAGTAAAACTTGAATAGTTTCGGAATAATTTCATATGTTTCTTTTTTTCATATTCGTCTCCTTTTTTTTACTATAACGCTTCGAAACCCCAGAGGGAATTATAAATAACCCTGTATATAAGTTCATATTTTTACAATATATAGTCTTAACACCCTACTGCATATAATTACACAGTCAGAACCTAAATGTCCACGTGAATACTCCTTTACTTCATTTGCATTACACAACCTCATCGAAGCACCACAAAGGTCAAGTTAAAGATAAATGGGAAAAGGGCCGCAAGCCGCCTCAGGTGCCCAGATATTTTATGCAGTTTAAGTAAATTTCTATAATTTGCAATAACTTCATTTTTTTTCAAAGATGCAGTTACCTGGGTTAGCCGGCATATTTTTCATCTAGATCTAGTAATAGTTAATAAGCGAGGCTAGTTGCTCCCTACAGCTCTATCATGATAACGAGTTTCCTAAAAACAAGTCTTAATTTCTTTATGTATTCATACAAACTTGTATTTTAGTAGATACTTAATTGTTTTAATAATTAATCTTCCAATTCCTCTTAGAAAAAACAAATGGAGTGGAAAGATTCCAGGATGCGTCAAATGAGTGAAATTTTAAACGGGATTAAGGTGAGATATTTTTCAAACATTTAAAATTATATTTACTATTTTCTGTATTTTGATTTTTGAAAATAATGAAGGAAAAATTATTTTAATTAATGAACAAATCTTTAACTTTAGTAGACCATAATTGCCATATTTAACATAAAAATTTTGCTGGTTGTAATTAATAAGTATTTTTATTAGGATATCCTCTATGGGGATAACTTAAATAATTTTGACAAAAAAAATAATAATACATTTTTATTACTACACACTATTGAAGGATGTAATTTTATGAATTACATTTGAAAAAATGCATACTCGTTACAATTTCTTTTGAACGATTTAATGGATATAACTCTTTGCTCTTGTAATCGTATTTACTAATTATTTGTAAACTGATAATTTTTTTATCATGCGAAATAGACCCAAGTGCCCGCCATTAACCAAAAAAAAAACTTTTTTAAGCAATCATAACTTTTAAGATTAAAATTTTAATCCTGATTATATCATCTAGTTTGGAACTATAATTATCAGTAATGTTAATTTTTTATTACATTTCATCTTGATGTAGTTTTGAATGTAAGCAATTAAGATTGTTACTTTAATAACCGATAAACTTTAATAAACCGATATAGAAAGTACAGGAGATTGTTACTTTAATAAACCGATACTTTTTTAATCATGATTATAGGCTATCGTAATTTTTACTATTAAAATTTTAATCCTAATTATATCATCCAGTTTTGAACTATAATTATCGGTAATGAAATTTTTTTATTACATTTCATCTTGATATAGTTTTGAATGTAAGCAATTAAGATTGTTACTTTAATAACCGATAAACTAATAAACCGATAGAGAAAGTACAGGAGATTGTTACTTTAATAAACCGATACTTTTTTAATCATGATTATAGGCTATCATAATTTTTACGATTAAAATTTTAATCCTAATTATATCATCTAGTTTTGAACTATAATTATCGGTAATGTTAATTTTTTATTACATTTCATCTTGATTTAGTTTTGAATGTAAGCAATTAAGATTACGCACAATCTTGATTGCAGACAATTTTATTATGTTAATCAAATGCATTTGAAGCTATTCTACGAACTGTTATGAAATCTGACTATTTGCTGGAGAAACTTTAGTAAATAACTTCGAAAAAATTTACAAATGTGATACAGATCGGCTGTTATAAACAAGGGTTTTAAAATATATTGATTCCACTATTTTAATTCTTAAATTCTTCGATTCGTTTTTCAAATCTTATTTTGGAATCATTTTAATGTGTAAGGATTCAACAATCGCAATTTAAATTCCTAATTGAAAAATTGGTTAAAGCACTTAAAATACCAAATATAAAGATTTGAATCCTAAAGACTAAAAAAAATCTTAATTTAAGTCGAATATAATGATAAATAATTATAAATAATGATTTAATATGATGATTAGAAAACACTAATAAGTTGAATCCATTCAGGATTCAAATGATTATATAAGTGAACTGAATCAATCAATTACGTTTATAATATAGCAATAATGAAACATAGTTCACAACATGAAATTTTCTTAAATTCAGAAATTTGATTTCTTCTAATTTTAGGTTTTGAAATTGTTTGCCTGGGAATTGCCATTTACAAAGAAAATTGAATCGATCAGGCAAAAGGAAGCAACTGCATTACGAAAATTAGCTTTCATTAATGGATCTGTTATGTTTCTATGGATATCAGCACCATTTCTCGTAAGATATTTTGCTAATAAAAATTTGTTGGAACATTTAAAAAACTGAAAATTACTGAAATAAATAAAAATTAATGTTTTTTCTCCTTTAAAATATAATATTGGTAACATTTAAAATTTATGAAGGTAAAAAATAATTAAAATTTAAAAAGTGATAAACAAAACACTTCTCATCCTATAGGAAGTTTTAATAAAAGTATGTTTTTATTATGTGCACTTAATGAAAAGCAAACCGTAGTCGATTACAATTACAACATACAATTTATTTAATAAAACTGGAATACTGAAATTGAAAATTATGGTCTTCAGCTGTTTGTCAGCCCATTATGTTACTGGTCACACAATATCAAGCTCGTAAAACACTACCGACTACTCATCAAACCGGATACGCATTCAGCGATTGAATCCGATGTGAATTTCAGAAAAAGCTATTAAATTGTGTCGGTTATGCGTGGCGTGATCTAACATTGTCGTGTTACAGGAAGGCCCCACGAAAAAGTTTAATTCTATGCTTCAGTTTTAAGCTTTCTAAACTTCGTTCAGAATGAATGGACTGGTAGGAACTTGGCACAATGCCAGGCTCGTAAAAAACTATCGACTGCTCTTCAAACTGGATACGCATTCAGCGATTGAATACGATGTCAATTTCAGAAAAAGCTTTGAAATTGTGTCGGTTATGCGTGATCTAACATTGTCGTGTTACAGGAAGACGCCACGAAAAAGTTTACCGTTACGCTTCAATTTTAAACTTTCTTAACTTCGTTCAGAAAGAATGGACTGATAGGAGCTTGGCACAATGCCAGACTCGTAAAAAACTACCGACTGTTCTTCAAACTAGATACGCATTCACCGATCGAAACCGATGTCCCCGCAGTGATTTTTCGAGCTAATCAATGACGTTCAAGTCACATGGGAATATATCTGGAATATATGATGCTTAGTTTAAGATTCCATTTGAATTTAGAAAAAGCTATGAAATTGTTCCGGTTATGCGTGATCTAACCTTGTCGTGGTATAGGAAGACCCCACGAAAAAGTTTACCTGTGCGCTTCAATTTTACACTTTCTAAGCTTCGTTCAGAATGAATGGACTGATAGGAGCTTGGTTGTTATACTTAAGTCAAGTTTGTGTGACAAGTATTGTTATTTATTGACAGAAAAGCTCGTAAATCTTTTTTATCTCATCGACATTTTTCCTCATTTCTTTTTTAATTAATATAATTTTTGTTTAATGGCTTTTGACTGGCTTTCACTGATTGTAACTCATACATTATTTTGCCATTTAAAACTGACTGATACAAATATTATATTCTTAAGGAATTAATGAATTCATCTCCTGTAGATTGCCATCACCTCTTTTGTGACGTATGTGTTGATTGATGTAAACAACGTTCTGGACCCAAGTATTGCTTTTGTGTCTCTCACTCTCTTCAATACTTTGAGAACAAATATGGCCACAATTCCTCAAGTCATTGCTTCTATCGTACAGGTAAGTGAATTTTTTTTTTCAAATTAAAGAAGCAGATTATATATTTAATTCTAAAAAATTGCAATAGGTGGAGTATTGTACAACACATAAATGGCAACACGTCAATTCTTCCATATGATCCGCTATACGACAATGTGTTAATACAGTAATCAGAAATCCAATGTATTTTGTCTTTGTGTTTGGCAAGAAATGGCATACGGAATGGAATGGAATACGACGTTTATTGCATAACAACAATAAAGCAAAATTTGCGCCATCTATTATCATTCATTGAATATAAAGATTTAAATTCCGATTCGGAACTTTGAAAGATTTTGTATTTTGCATGTCTAGTTTCATTTGAAACAAAAATATGTTTTATTAGCAGTTTTGTTATCGCGCGCCCTGTTACAAGGAAGATGAAACTCTGTTTTGCTATTTTTATGTTTTCTGCTGAAAAACCTTCTACCCCGTCAAGTTAATTATTTGATTTTTGTTCCTTCGATAATTTTTTTTATGCTCTTAATAAATAATTTGTATGCTGAACGTTTAATGTTTTCTGCTTTGCTGTAGCTTGTATGTATATTTGTGTGTAAATAATTTGTTGTTCTTAACGATATAAGGCTTTTATGATATTACTCCTATCTTTGATCCTAAATATTGTCCTCATTTTCAATAATTAAAATTTAAAAATATATTTTATTTTGATCTTAAAAAAATCCTATTATTAAATTTTTTTAATAAAAACTCCTTTGATAATTTATTATTCGATTTTTTTGCGTGTTTTGCAAATAAGCATTAATTTACTGTTTCACAATGAGCTTTCAATAATTTTTTTAAATTGTTTTTAGGGTAGTGTGGCTTTCAGAAGAATTAGAACTTTCTTGCTATCTGAAGAGCTTCCCGATCGAGGAACAGACGATGATACAGCTATCTGTAAGTTACTTCTTTTTACCACGACTAAGAGGATAAAAAATTTTTACATTCACTTTGTATGATTATCGTATTACATAAATTGTAAAAAAAAGCACACCAATCTATTCATATTTAGGTAGTAAATTGCACTTTTCATTTATTTCTTTGCATTTAATTATGTTAACCAATGGCATGTTAAATATTTTAAGGGAATCACATAATAATGAACTTTAAAAATAAAGAACAGAATTATTAAAAGTTTTAAAGCAAAATAAAAATACTTATTCACAAAAATGTATTTTATAACTATTTTAACATTAAATATGAGAAAATATGAAGAGAACTATTTCTTTTGCCTAGATCGAAACTTTATAAAAATCATTCAACTTATGTAAAAACTTTATGAATGTTATTTTGCCTACATTAAAATTTAGAGGCAAACTGTTTACAAACTTTAACTTTCCTTGAAAAAATTCAGCGTAAAGTTTATTGAAAAATAAGCATAATTTGTCGAATCTTTACTCGTTATCTTGACCCTAAAATATAAACTTATTTTCTGAAATTAGGGACTTATATATTACAGAAAATATTCTTGCATAATATTTCTCACATAGTATTTATATTATAATATTCATTATTTCCTTACATAAATGTTAATTATAAAAAAAAAATATTGAATATTGAAGTTCGATCATTATAATAATAAATCTAGAATCTTCATCATGAAAAAAAAAATTTTTTTATTTAACACGAAATTTAACTAATTTCAACGAATTTTTTATTTTTAACGAAATTTTATTTTTTGAGGATAGTTAGATAATTTAAATCTTGTTTTAAACTTTTGGTTCAATTAATGAATTCTTTAAAGGAAAATAAGAGTTCCATTTCCGCATAAAAAATACGAGGCGGTTATTCTCTAGTAATTATTAGGCCAAGATAGTATAAAGTACAGTCGGCAGAAAACATAGTCATGTAAGCAAATGATATACAAAATGCAAGAAGTCCAGCTACCATTGATATAATTTAAACCAGTTCCCCAAGGTTGGGTGTGGTCCCTGAGTATAAAGGAGAAAAATAATAGGGGCAGAACCTCAGAGATCCTCCTTTAAATGAGTTTACACCCTCTTCTCCTCTTAACCAATACTTGGGTAGGGAATTCGTTGGGATGAAAAGGAAAATTTTTCTCTTTCTTTATCGTTGGTTTGTTCCTTATTTTTACACTATTGATAAACAGTACTGCACTATTAATTAAGATATATATTTGAGAATACATGTAAATCTGCTAACACATTTTGACATAGAAGGAAAGAATAAAACGGCGGAAAGCAGCGCACCCAACCATGCGTGTAAAGTTGTCCAACAAGCCGTTCACAGGTGACGTATGGATCTTGGTTCAACTGACGCTCAGCTAAATCTGAGCATGTTGCTCACCCTGTAAGTTGAGTAAGTAAGCCCTGTAAGTAAGTCATCCTATAGCAGTGTTTCCCAAACTTATGACTTTTGCGTACCCTTCCTAAACTTTTCGTAACGCTGTGTACCACTAATACAAAAATGAATGCATTTTTCGCTATAAAAAAATTGCACAAAAGTTAAAAATCACAACTGGCTGTTGACACCACTAATTATTAACTGTCAACTCCGCAAAAAATAGCCAATAGAAAAATACGTAATCGTAAATTTTCATGGCTAACTTTGTTTTTAAGAAAAAAAAATGAAATTTTCGTTTGTTGCAAGATATTTCGCATAAGAACGAGTACCCCCGCTGAACTGTTCCCGTTCCTCTAGGGGTACGCGTACCACACTTTGAGAAACACTGTCCTATAGCGTACGGAGATGAGCAGTTCTACGTGTAAGTTACGTATTCGAAGAGCTGAACTTTTTATCCTTTCTATATTCTTTGTTCGTAAAAATTTATTACTTTTGCTAAAGTTAATTTTGAATGTTTCGCTTGTGCAACATTTGCGGAGAATATGAAATTATGATCCTTTTGTTCTTTTAGGTAACGCTGTTGAAATCGATAGTGGATCATTCAGTTGGACCAGTGGTGAGGCTCCGTTTCTAAGGGATATCAATGTCTCAGTGGCCCGTGGAAGTCTTGTAGCGGTGGTTGGACGTGTAGGATCAGGAAAGAGCGCTTTATTCTCAGCAATTCTGGGAGAGATGTATTCTAATAAGGCGGCTGGTGCTCCAGTCCGCATCATGAAGGTGAGCTTTAAATGCAGTGGCTGGTTTCAATTAAAATCTTCTTCAGTCAATATCGTAGAAAATGAAAGAGGAACTAAACGTTATGAATATTTTATATAGAGGGTAGGAGGTTTGAAGCGGCAATTAGACATTGACTAAGCTTGAAACAGCTTATTTTAGACTTTGCTTTATTTATCGGGTTTGTTAAGAGATAGTGAAGAGCATCAAATAATGTGGTAAGAAGCGCAAAAAGTAAGAGAATTTATGCTCCTAGGTTTTAAAAAATTTATATAAGTAAATATTATATGGATCATAGTAATCGACTTTATCGTTTTGGTATTCAACAATAATGGTTGGGGTGCAATCATAATAACAAGACCCACAAGGAGAATGAAAGATACTAGACAGGTCACAAATAACGGTAATTTATTGCATAAACACGAGTTTCTTCGACATTTTTCTTTAAAAGAAATTAAAAGTAAATTCAGGCGTGGTTCGAACAGTAATTCATAATTTTTTCGGCTCATTAACTACAAAATACGCCTAAAAAGCAGGACATGTTACAATTTGTGGTACGTAGAATAAAGCAAAGCAACGTGAAATAAAATGCAAGTACAGAAATGAATATACTATAATTTTGGTTCCATAAACAAAATAAATTTACAAAAAACAAGGGAAATGAAAAAAGATAGGCGTAATGTGGTTTGTAGTGAAACCCCAAAATGTGAAAAATTAAATTAAAATAGATTTCCAAACTCTTGGAAAAGGTGGGATATTAAAAATATCATACAAAAAATAAATTAGAATTTTTAAAATATGAATTGATTCCCAGAAATCATAGTCAGTAGATGAAGAGCAGTGTCAAATTATTTTAGCAGCAGAAAACTAACCTTTGATTAGAATTCCAACAATAAAGATAGAAGGATCGATCGTTTAATATACTGATTTTAGACACATCTCTCATGTTTTTACGTCGAAATTTAAGGGTTCATTTGGTTTATCTAATATACGCAAGACAAGAATTTTGATTTACGATCTAGTTACTAATGTCAGCAATAGGATCTTTAAAATGGTAAAATTTAGTTTGCTTACATGGGAGAGCGATTTGGAAACTGTCTTCCAGATAATAAGGTAAAAGAATAAAATTATTTAAGTTCAAATCAGAAGACTTGTTGAATTCTGTGATAACTTTTCCACACATGGAATGAATTATATTATAAGGAATAATATTTAGAACAAAAAACACACTCTACGCACTACACAGTAAAAACACGTTGAGCCTAAATGGCCTCAAAACTCACTGGATACAGCAACTCGAAAATATGGGTGTTAAAGAAGCTGCAGCGCTCCCTGGTGTAGAAAACACCGTCCATAAAGGAGAAAATTACACAGTTCGTGCTCTACTTAAATATCTATGAAGTATTTCCTAGGTATGAGCACCGCCTTAGGAAATCTGATATGGGCTGACTCAACACGTACTGCCATCTCATGAATCCGAAAGGATTGTGTCAGGGAGTGTTCTATAAGGATTATGGGTCCTGATGTGCCCCATGAAAACATTGTTCCTGGGCGAGAAACTATGAAAACCTGGGCGAGCCCATTGTTATAGATGGAGGATGATCATAATGTAATGGTTCTTCGGTATATATATACGTATTAGTTGTCTATTATCGCACTCTCTC